ATCACATCGGGAGTCGAACCGCGACAGTGCAGGATTGGAGTTTGGCACGCTAACCACTCGGCTAGACTGCCACGAGCACATTTTGGGTCACAGGCAAATGTGAATTTTCAAGGAAAACCAGATCTTTTTGCCATATCATATTCTTTTGGTGGAATTGTCGATGAAGCAAACGTATATCTGCTATAACAAAAATTGTTCTCATCCAGGGTTGATAGGACAGATGCGCGGTCGAAACCGCAGTCCACCCTGGATGAGAAAAACTTTTGGGAAGCAAGAATATGTGAAATTCAATGGAAACGTCAGCTAAACTCATATCATTGTGGTAAAATTCTTCTTCTACCAATCCTTCATCACCTTGAACGAAATTGGGTGAATACATCTCATATTACTGAAATATTATTATCTATTTCGCCTTGAATAAGGCAATGTCCAAATTGAGAAGAGATAGTGCTGAGGCACAGAATTTACTGCCAACCGTGTTTAGCTTAAATGGCTGAGCCAAGGTTGGTAAGGATTGGGCTTCATAACAGTTAGAATGAAATAATTGGATTTTAATACCTTCTTGAAGTGTTTGAAAGGTCTGTTACAATTTGGTCGAAATCAGATGTTGTTTATAAGGATTTGTTTATTCCGATCAGAAATCCGAATTGATGGCAATAGTCACTATTTTAACTTGGTATGGTATAGCACGTATACTACTGCTCACCCTTAAAATGGCCTTTAGTAAAAAAGTATGTGGGATGAGAGAGGCCTGCATTGTCTTTTCGGGTAACTCCAAGGGACTACATTCTTTTGGCTCAGGGCAAAGCAACTCCTATCTCCATCATTCGAAATATCGCTGAGGTTGCAGACAATGTTGATAATGTGGTCCAGCCTGGAGGGTGCATGAATTCTGTGATTCAAGGCTGAGTGAATTTCTACTAAACGCAGTAATTATATTTACTCCAGCGTATGCTGAATAGTTAGAAGTTGTTGCATCATCCTATGAAATTTGTATATTTTACGTCTACTGTGAATTTAATTGCAGCTAGCAAAATATTCTGACTAAAACTTCTTGTCCTCGATAGTATTTTGCTTTAAAGATGGCATTAGGAAAAAGTCTACGACGTCTGTGATCGTTAGAGTATTTGGATAAATTGTAGGATAGTAATTAATCTGATATTCTTCTAGTCACTTGTATGGAAGACATCCCGGAATACCTTTCTACATATACCCTTGCCTTGTTCAGCTTCACTCGTGTTTGTCATGCCAACCTCCCTAGACAACTTTGTTTGCGATCCTGCTTATAGGGGTGAGCCGGAACTTCTCGAGCGCTGTTAATTGTAGTCAGGCGAATTATCCATTCTTGTAGAAAATTCGCCCGACTAAGGTGTTGCTCTGGATTTGTAAAGCCTTAGAATTTCGATTTCTTAATTTTAAGCAAAATATATTCCCATACTTTTGGAAACTCAGTTCATCTTTTCCTCTGACCCTCACTTGCGAACTTTAGTAAATTTAGAATATGTTTGATATTCAAATTGACGGTAAATAGGAGTATTTGCGACTCTAGCCCGCAGAAGTTGATGAAAGACTGATAGTGGATTTTCCCACAATCAGATGAGTATGTACCAGTATGTCAATATATTTCACTTTGCTTTGATTTCTAAAAAGCTACTGTCATCCGTCTGGACTGTGGTTTTGACTTCGACTGGGTCTCATCAACCCCACAAGAGGGATTTGAACTCGAGTGGTGCAACATAAAATTTCCACATATTACAACCAACATATTAGTTCATCCAGGATGAGAATACCCTTTAGGAAGCAATGTCAAGTAAGATTCAATTTATAGATTAAGCCTACTCACATGATTATGAAAAAATGTAACAATGAGTCCTTCATCACTTTATGTGATCTAGGGTGGCTAAAACCCTTCTTCAGGATTTGCTGATAGTTTCGAAGGCTACTATAATGAATATAAGTAACTTAATCAAGATTAATGTCGGAATACACGTTTGCCTAATTGAAAATCCCACTACAAAGTCTGTATCTCCTTGAAATTCATGTTTGTCCTGTGACCAAAGTGCACCCGTTACAAAGTAGTGTGACGCTCACATGTCGAGGTTATACGTTACATGAATTCCGCTAGTGATCCTGACGAGACAGGAGCGCATTCGAAACTGCCTGAATTCGAATACATTTTAGGAAGTTAAGTGAAATTGACTGTAAACTTGGGGCCTACTCATAGAATTGTGGGAAAATTCAACTATTGGTCCTTCGTTATTATGCGACCTAGGATGGCTAGAACTCTTATTCAAGACGTACTGGTAGCCTCAATTCTTAGATTCTTAAAGTATATAATTTCGCTTTCTTTCTTCCTTCAGGATCAGACCTCAAGTCGGACTCGTAATTTTCTAATATGGCAACAATGGGAGGCCAATAGCCTCTATAGCATCCAGTTTCCCTCTTGCCCAGCTATTGTAGACAGTGCATGATATCGGACCAGCCAAAGGGAATCAGCCGACTGAGTAGGCAACATATTTTCGGTATGTGCGCCTCAGCTAGACAGACGATAAAGTTGATTCTGCCTTATTTACGCGTTTCTTCTGCAAAAGTACTTACGCGCAATCATCACCTGGTTCACGATTCCGCTGCCAGCCACTCTGACCTTCTCTTGGCAGAAGTCTTTAGACAAAGCGGCAAGGATGCTGCTGAGAAGAGTGCAGGAGGGTTGGTTGTCTGGTGATGGAGGCTTAATAATATAAACTGGCACTCTAGTTCTACATTTAGGCCGTCCGGATTAAGTAAAATGCAACAAATACACATATCTAGCCCTGGTGACCAAGGGAGAATAGATGAGCATCGAAAAGGTAAGCGACGCGCTCTCACGCTTTTTGCGCTCCTCTGCTATAACTTGTGTAATAGGGACATGTATGACTTTGTCGCCAACATGAGAGGTGTTTTTTTCCGATCATCTGCACACCCAAAACACCTATTTGAGTGACTCAAGAACAGCAACAACAGCAAGGCCGATGAGTAGACAACGCATAGCACATACGGAGCAGAGACAATTGTGTCTGAAAGCACCAAAATCGGATAAGGGCGCACTTTGCTTCGCCTGGCATCGGCGAACCCCCACATCCTCCTTTCGATCTACTGTACCGCAGTAGCGCAGTAGTTTAGCATACAGATCACCTCCTTCTTCAAGGCGGAATCACACGAAGCAAATGTGTCTTGTAGACAGCACATTCCAAGTCC